TGAAAATCGCATTTCCAAATTTACAAAATTTCAGGATCTCAGCACTATAGGTTCAAGCATTTAGTACACCAATCGGTACTAATACATCAATGCTACAACAGTAACCTTATTTCCAAATTTCAGTGTTCTAGTTCACTCAAATACACATTTGGTACTATTTAGTACACATTGGTACAAATTCCAAGACATCCTATCCCAATCCTGTTGTAGCAGCTAGTACTGCTGTGTATTTTCAATTTTCTTCAATCTGGTTCTGCCTCCAATTCAAAATTCAGAAAGGCTGCGACCTGTACAGGTTGAGTCCAGAGAGAAGATGGGATGAGTGGGCTTGGCTGGGCAGTTGAACAGATGCAGCGTGTCATGTGGTCCGTTACCACATGCCGGGCAGACATTGTCGACCTCTCTATCAATTCGTGCTCAATACGAATTGAGGCGACTACACCATCCAGATCTCAGTTGTGCCAAGACCACTCTAGTTTGTCGAGGTAGCTGCTGCTCTTCTGCGGCTATCAAAGGCGGATGGTCACCGAAGATGGTATTCACTCGATATTCTTGAACTGCTTCCTCAACTGCGTCCGTGTGAATACAGTTCAATCCTGCTTGATAGGCCTGTTGATCTAGAGGCTCCCTTTTGTTCCTCTGGACCTCTCTCTCCAGATCATGGAGATCCTTCCTGACATGCATGGGTGGTGGGTGCCTATCCATAAGGTAGCGGTTCGGATGGCTGCTCCTATAACAGCCAAGCAAGTATTGCATCGACAACATCTTGTTGTGTTGACGCACAGGAAGGATCTTCGTCTCCTCATGCAAGTGGTCTATTGGAGTCATGAGGAGACACCCTGTTGCAGTCCTCAGGGCGGCATTCTGGCAGGATTGAAGATTTTTCCACTGCGTTGCACTGACGTTAGCGGACCACACTGGCGCCGCATAGTTTACCACAGACCGGCCTATTGATTTATAAGTCGTTAACAAGGTTTCGTTGTCAGCTCCCCAAGTGCTGCCGGCTAGCGACTTGAGAACCTTGTTTCTGCTCCTGGCTTTATCGCAAATAGCTGTGGCATGCGCGGACGACTTGTATAGGCTATCGAATGTCACCCCTAGAACCTTGGGGTAATTAGTGGTCGGAATTGTGGACCCCTCGACCTGCACATTCAAAGATAGCCTCATCTCCGCTGTCCATGTGGTAAACAGTTTGGCCGTTGACTTAGTGGCGGATATTTTCATATTCCTCGACCGGAAAAAATCAGCGATATCCACGAGATAGTGGTTCAGCCTCTCGCAAATGTCATCAACTTTATGTCCCGACGCCATAATCGTGCAATCATTCGCATATGTCAGGATCTTGATGCCGTCCGGTGGGCGTTGAATTCCAGAGAGGTAGAGGTTAAACAGTTCCGGAGATCTCACCCCTCCTTGGGGAACTCCCTGTTTAACTCTAAGGGCCTTCGATTTCCTGTCTCTAAATTCCACGTACGACTGGCGTCCACACATATAGTTCACTATCCAACATTTCAAACTTGGCCGGAGGGTTGTTCTCTCGATGTCCTCGAACAGCTTGGCGTGACTGACGGTATCAAATGCCTTTGATAGGTCTAGCGCCACCATGACTGTCCTGTTACACGGCCTGTTCTGGTTGAGTCCTTCTGCTATGTGTGCGGAAATGGCGTGCAAAGCTGTTGTTGTGCTGTGCTGTTTCCGGAACCCATACTGATGATCAGCAACTGAGTAACATTCACGAATGCTGGGGAATAGTAAAGCCTCAAGTGTCTTGGCTACTGGCGACAAAAGTGAGATCGGCCTGTCTGACTCACCTTTGCTGGCATCCTTGCCCGGCTTCAGTAGCGGGACCACCCTGCCCATTTTCCAGGCATCGGGAACTACTAAGGTGGATAACGACAAGTTGAGGGCTTTGGTGAGATAATCTACTCCTGGCTCATCAAGCTGCTTCAACATCACCATTGAGATTCCATCTGGACCAAGCGCTTTGGATGATTTCGCGTTCCTGATGACATTTGCAACATCCTCCAACGTAAATTGTGGTGGTTTCTCCTCCAGCTGAAGAGAGCGTATACGGCGCAATACTCTTCTCTTCGCCCGGTCACTCTCGGGGTGCTCTATAAACTGTCGACTGAAATAACACGCGCACCTCTTCGGATCTGTCACCTCAACGCCGTTAAATGAGACAGAAGTCCGATCCTCCTTCTTTCCAGGGTTCGAGAGCGACTTAACCGTTGCCCACAATTTACTCACTCCGGTACTGATGTTGCAACACTTCAGATGTTCTAGGCACTTTTTCCGCTTATGCTCGCCGACTAACCTGTTCACCTTCAATGTCAGTTCTCTGACTCTGGGGTTAGTAGGGTTAAAATGGCGAAGCTCATTCGCTAGTCCCGCTGCCTCTGCTGGGAAGTTCGGTCTTAGTTCGGGTATACGACCCGCAGGTATATACCGAGTGGCTGCAGCAGTGATGATGTCCCGGAAATTCCTTTCTGCTACCCGAGCATTAGAAGGGATGGGCAGTTCTCTGAAGCGACGATTGGTGAAATTTCGGAACTCTTGCCAATTGGCTTTTCCATGATTAAGGAAAGTACGGCGTTCAGAAGTTATGAAATCGGGTGGTCTGTTTATGGATATGATGATAGGGAGGTGGTCTGACCCCAATGATATGACGGGTTGCCAAGCCACGTCATTCGTCAGACGCGGAGACACGATGCATATGTCCGGTGAGCTTTGGCAGTCTCCCCTTATCCTGGTGGGTATGTCCTCGTTCACCGTGCAAAACGTTGAGCTATCAATTTGCTCGGCCAACGCCATGCCCCTCTGGTCATTACCTAGGACGGAATGCCATAACTCATGATGTGCATTGAAATCCCCTAGCACCAGACGGTTATTGCCTAACGCGGGTCACAGATATTTAACGGCGGAATGTAAACGTTAAGCACCTCTACCTCGGCGGTACCACATTTAACCGCTACCCAATACATTCCATGTATGGGTCACTAGAGTCTAGCTCAAGCGAGATAGGTCTGTACTGGACAGAATGGTGCAATAGGAATGCTAATCCTCCACCTCGTGTACGATCCTTTCTAATCACGTTGTATCCATCACAACTCTGAAGACTGCAGGTGTTTTTCAGCTTCGTTTCTTGGATCGCAGCGACCATAATACCTCTTCGACTCAAAATCCACTATCTCGAAGTCCATCGCAGTTGAAAGGATACGTTATCAGGAGTTGCGACAGCAATGTGCGGTGTTAGCGGCTGCGGAGATTGCGGGGACTCACCTAGTCCGAAGACGACGACGATGATGACGTGGACCACGGTGATGCCGACGACTCGCTGGGGACTGCATTGGCGCAGCAAGAAGCAACGTAGTCCCTTTCGCTATACTCCTGTATCCGGCTAAGGCCGGAACGACTCCTGTAATGTATCCATTCTCTGCATCCGTTGCATCTCACGAGATAGATCAAAATTTGGAAACGATTGGATTATTAGTTTTTGTGTTATCGTGCCCGCCATTCGTAAAAAAAACTGCTTCGAGAAAAATGCGTTTAAAGTATGAGAATCACTCTTGCCGTCACTTGATGCTGACACAATAAATCGACTATATCCTCAAGAGTTCTTGAGATTTTCACTGGAAATTTTGTACGGACGTTAATGAATAAGTGTAGATTCCAAAAAAATTCTTTTGGAAAAATATTCCAATATTTTTTTCGACAAACTTTCTCGCAGTGCATACAACATTTTTTCGATTTTCTGCCTATCAAATGTAAAAATTTGCTATACAAATGTGGTATAAAATCAATTTTTTAATTTTGGTACACCGGAGCGTATGATTGTTATTAATTATTGGGTAATTTTAGAAAAATGCCCATAACTTGGGAACTATGGCAGGGATTTTGAAAAGAAAAATTGTTTTTGATAGCTATGACATGAGACTAAAAGAAATATTGACTTTCATTATAAAATATTTATTAATTTCCAAGGGAATAATGGAAAAAATGTTTTTTTCGAAAAAATGTGTTCTTGGCTTAAATTGGCTTATTTTATATGAAAAGAATAAAGGAGCCGTTCTCCAAAATCAAGTTTTACTCTGATATCCCTTTATACATTGACATATCATACAAAGCCAACATAACATGACAGGCCTAAATCCTCGTATCTGTTTACCCTTGAAACAAATAAATCCAAATATGTTAGAGCTGAATATGGAAATCCAGCTACTATTGAAGATTTGCAAGAATATGGGCTAAGGTAAATTTCTTCTAGCAATGACCGTAAACTTTTTAATTTCATAAATAAATTTGTAATTTTTTTTTTTTTGAAATCTTAGAAATCAAATCAGGCAGTCATCTGAAAGTATTACATATGTATGTGTGTGTATTTTTTTATTGACACATCTTCTTAATAAACGACCACTAACTAATTAAGTACTTTGAGCCACGCTTAAAACTACATCATCGCCCCAACATACCTACGCTCATACATATATAAGCAGACACACTCACATCCACCCAATCGCACACACAGACAAATCCACAAAAATGTACGCAAAAAGTTATCAACGTTACAAACATCTCCAAATTGTTCAATATTCCCTTTTTTCTCCAATGCTGAGCGAATGACTGCCCGGCCATTACTGCTGCTGCTACGTTCGTTGTCGCCAACAGCGCTCAAGATTCACACAGGGGCATCATCGACGCACTACTTTTTGTGTAACGTTTGATTTTTTTTATAAATACGAGATACCCGATTAGAAGTTCGCCATTTAAGATACAACATTTAGCGGGTGTAAATCTCACGTAACCACCTCGCAGACGGCAATTGCGCGAAGTGCAAAACGATTATTAAGCGGAATATTTCACGAAAAAACGAACAGAGATAACGAAACGGATAACAAAAGGAATTTCAGTGTCAAACGATTCGTTGTTGAAATATACTATATGAGAGTGTTAAAAAAAAATATTGGAACCCTTTATTAAGTAATTGTTATTAAGAAATATGTTTGTGCAAAAAGTGGTGAGTTTATGGAATTAATATTCAACAAATGTGAACAAATATTTTAATAAAAATTGTTTTGAAATGATCAACTACAAATAAAACAATAAATTAAAAAAATATTAAAATAAAAACTGTGTACAGGTGAAGTGAGTACTGTTGACCAAGGACTAAAGAAAATAAAAAACATTGAATTTTTAAATAAAATAAAATTGAAGTGGAATAAAGCAAACATGAACTGAACAAATAATATATTTGTTAATACATACATGGACAATTATTATTCTATTAGTATTATTTTGAATTCAGAGTGACTGTGATATAACATTTGATTTATTTTGTTATGCAAAAAATGTGTGATCTCTTGCCAAGACAATAATGCAATGAAATCCAAGCAAAAAAACTTAGAACTGAACAATTCTCTTTTTTATTAAATCAGTAAAAACGTCGCTGATAATACTCTGCACTACGAGGAGTTAATTTTAATACCTGTAATCGTGCTGTACCTTAGAGAAATGACAGCTTATGCCATAGTAAATTTTTGGTAGGACGATTCGACACCCAATGAGAATCAAATAAGAGGCTATTCGGTTAAAATAAGCGCCCATAATCTCCAAAATCCCGACATTTGCAATTAGAACCTTATACGGGGTAAACCTACATGATGAGGATTTATTTGACATATATGCAATGGATTTAACAATTTAAACCAATCCAGGACAATGTAAACGTAATATTAATAAGGTCAACCAGTTATGGAAAGTCAGCTGTTTATTCTCAAGTCTAATGTCCACCTTATAGCGGATATAGCGAAGGGTGTTAAAAAAGCATACTATATTATAAATAAAAAATACATTCATATAGACCACGTTCATAAGAACGATAATTAGCCACATTTTTCAAAATTACAGTTGTGTCGCCATATGAACTTGTTCTAGTTCACGGAGTGGATCGATCTTTCTCGTTCCTTTTTTTAAATGAATTATTACCTTTACTCCAGGTAGTTCATTCGAATCTGTCCCTTTCGTCGTTCTTTTAGTTTTCTCGTTCCTTAGTAAGGTGACAAAAGAATTTTGAACCAAAAAAATAAAAAACCAGTGAGCGGAGCAGTATATTCGGACGGGGCCGACCATATGATACCCTACACAACTTCCACGAATATCTAACATTGCGTTATTTGCACCCTCTTGACACCGACTAAAGGTCAACAAATATTACTAATATTCAGTAGACGAGGGCTGTACTTGTCCAGATTCTCTTTACCGTAGGTTATGTTGTGATGTTGGGCTTTAAATTGTGGCCTAAAGATCGAATAAAAAAACACAAAAAGTTAAGTTTTGGGTCCACTTCATCCCAAAATTATTATCTCATCATCACCGAAAATGATAGGCGTAATCCTTGAATATAATTGGAATCTCATGGAAAATTTCAAAGCGATCAGCGCTATATTTCCGCCCTCTAGAGTGGTCATGGATTACTAAATAATATATGCATACGTAAGCACCGAGTACCTACGACAATATGATTGGTATCAACTTAAAGGTCAACCACTCCTCTCTTGGATATACTATCAACTTATCGGGTCTATGTCCTTCAGGAGTAAATATATACGCAATAGAATACAAATTTTTTAATTTTTCACACAAAAATCAGGGTCCATTTGACCCGCTAAATATTGACCGATCTTTATAAAAACAGGCATGCTTATTCTTTGGCCCGACCCCCTTCTCCATGTGAAAATTCGCGAAGTTCGGGCCATAATTGCGGCCTCTGGAGCAACCAGAAAATTGGACAAAAATAAAGTTTTTGGTCCATTTCATCCCCTAAATATTAACCGATCTTTATCAAAAACAATAGGGGTATTCATTTGCCAGAACCCATCCTACATGCAAAATTTCGTGAAGATTGGTCCATAACTGTGGCCTGTATCGTGTTTACAAATTATAATGGACAGACGGACGGACGGACACACATGTCTAGATCGACTCAGCTAGTCGAGATATGCCGATCGGTATACTTAAAGGTGAGTCTAGGACCAATATTTCGCGGCGTTACAAACTTTTGGGGCTGCACAAAGCTATAATACCCTGACAACATAGTTGTGTAGGGTATAATAAATTACTATTTAGATAATTTAATTTTATCAATAAATATATATTTAACTATGTGGCAGCATCTGAAACATGAACGAGAACAAGTAAAGAATATGGGAATAAAGGAACGAGATCAGAAAAAGGAACTAAATAACTGCACCCAGTTCCGATCTTCCTTTATTGAAATAGTTCCAATGAACTAGTTCATTCCGGAACGAACCAAATCTATTCAATTCCTTTAAAGCAGAATTAGAAGAAAAAAAACGTATTTCGTATAAATTGTTGAATATGAAAAACTTTGAATTCGTCTGCAATATTTTAGATCTCATTATGCAAAACACGTTATCAACTTGTATGTGCGGGAAATAGATCCGAATTTAGTTAATCTAGCACTGAATCCACTTAACTTTGAAGCAGGCAATGTATTCCAATGTTTTTGACTTTTAAATAATATATGTTTATAGATTTGATTCGTTTTATAAAAACAGTTACAAATATCGGATTTATTATATGAAAATCAGGTTAAAAAATTGGCTATCCGGATCTGCCTCCCTCAATTTTTTTTTTTAATTGCATATATAGCCTATATATACTGGAATATGCACCAGAATGTCACATGTGACTAATCTTGTTTCAGGTATTCGGACATACTCAAAATTACTGATTGAAGATCCGACTGCAGCTGGTACTATTGGTCTGTTTCCGTACTATAAGAATGTACTATTTTTGTCATTGTCATAAAGGAAAAAATTTTATATTGGAAATTCGAAATCGACTTTCTATCTTTGAGGAGGTCACAAAGTCGACATTTCAAAATCGAATTTGGATGGACTTTTTAATCAAAGCCAAAAATCGAAAGATGTAAAAGATCTAAAAATCGACGGGTTAAACGCTATCAATACCGTTCATGGCCTGTTCTGATTTAGTCCTAAATTTATATGTGCAAAGATGGCGTGCAGGCGTACAACAAAAATAAATAGTATGACTTAACTTTTTGGGCATTCTTCTTCTATTGAGATCTGAATGACTATCGGATGATTTAGAGCTTCGGATGACAATTGCAACTTCACGCATCGTTAACTCTTGGGGAAGAGATACTCGAAGGGAAAATAGAACGTATGCTCGACACAATTTGTTTGTTAGAATAATGTCGTGAAATGTAACTGACGTCGCTATTCTCCTGAGTAAGTGCACTGAGGAGTAAATGGTTCAATTCTTGAGCACTTTATTCAAAATTGCTTCTGTATTTTTTTTCTTCTTTGTAAATTTTTCACCAAACTGTCACTGATCCGGCTCGAAGGACCAATGTTAATCAGGGGATCTAAAATCGAAAAGTAACGCTAGTATAATGCCCATGGTCGATCGATGCTTTCATTGGTTTAATGCTGCGACGGTCGATTTATATTTATTTTGGTGTCGATTGGATGTATATAAATGTAGTCTCCAAATCCCTGGTTGATGTTATCCCCATTGCACCACATATACATGTGCTGCATGTTGTCTGACTCCCAGATATTTAACTTTATTCGATATGGCTATCATTTTGTTTTGGAAGACGGGTTCTACATATTGTGTTATTTATTACTTATCTTCGCCCCTAGGTTATGTTCCTTCAGAGACTATTAATAGTGGTTACCCACAAGAATGGTGACAGAATCCCTCACTGTGGTGATCCTTGCCCCAATCTATCGCTGATAGGTATGTCCTGCAGGCTATAGTTTATCCATATATTCCATAGCCTTTGGTTGACCCAGTCTATGATTTTCTGGTCAACTCGGAAAGCTTCTAAGGATTGAATAGGTGTTTCACTGCCGCCATTGTTGAAGGCTACCTCGAATTTTTGTTAATATTTTACCTCGAAGCCCATATTTTAATTCTATAAAGAATTTGTGGTGAATTTTGAAGAAAAAGTTGAAACATTACAACATCAGAAACGTGAAGGACCTGAAAACAGCTCTAAGAACTGACTGGTATCAAATGTCACCCAGAGCTAGCCCCAATGTAGTCGAATACATGTCTAGGCATCTAAATACGGTTATAAAAAATTATATCTAACTAAATACTAACTTTTATTAAAATGCATAATATATTTTTTTTATATTGTTCCTCTGTACGAACACGGGTTTTGTCGTCCATAATATCCAGCCATATTCGCCAAAAAAGCATAACCCTCAAATTTGAAATTTTACAGTAGAAGGTTTGTTTTAATAAATTAAAATTTATAAAGCTATTATTTTGAAATTTAGAACTATAGTTTGGTATCGATCGCAATTAGTACGTCCTTCGAAAAAAGTAAAAAGAAAAACAAAAAATGATAAGAGTCCTACAAAAAACGAAATTTCTCGTAATACCTTTCAACCCCAAAGCATCGTTACAAAAATTACTTTGAAATATGTATACAATCTTAAGAAAAATAAGAACAAAATCTTCAAGTTTAGAAATACTCCTGATAACTAAATGTATTCATAATTCTTCTTCACAATTTCAAACTTCACATTTTTTACTCTTATTTATTTTTTCTTCATCAGTTAACGATTTTCACGGGCACGTCAACACTTTTGTACCAGTTACTCAAATACAGTCAAATCTGATTATTAATAATAATAAGTCTGTATCTTATTGTTGTCGATAATCTAACAATATTAGTGAATTGCATATATCATCATCATTCACATATATGTATATAAAATAACAACAAACAAAATTCGAAGACAACAACACAAAATTCATTTAGTTATTTGAATTAACAGGAATACGCAAATTTGACAAGTAAACAATAATAGCCAGTTAAGCAAAACCCCATAATAGTTATTCTTCTTGGCCAAGGAGAACGACGACGAGATGACAGCGGAGGGAGGGATGCGGAGAGGTTTTTTGGGTGTCTATAAATGAATGATTTTTGTTTGTGATGTGTTTTTTGATTGCCAG